CACACACACACACACACACACACACCCAGCGTGAGTTTAAGTTACCGGGTCCAGGACTCGAACCGTGGTCGACTACATGGGAACCCAGCAACATAGCCATTATGCTAACTGCTGGTCCCAGAATGGGAAAATATTTTTGTACACTACATATCAGATAAGGGATTGATAACCAGAATTCACAACAAACTCAAGCAGCTGTTCTGAAAAAAGATGATCAATCCTATTAAAAGATGGGAGAATGAGTTGAAAAAACACTCTCTAAAGATGACATACAGATAGCTAAAAGGCATATGAAAAAAATGCTCAACGTCCCTCATTGTAAGGGAAATGCAGATCAAAACAGCAATGAGATACCATCTAACCCCAGTCAGAATGACTAAGAGTAAAAGAACAAAAATTGATAAGGGCTGGAGGGGGTGTAGTGAAAGGGGAGCTGGTGGGAATGTGGATTGGTCCAGCCATTGTGGAGAACAATTTGGAGATTCTTCAAAAATCTACAACTAGAACTACCATATGATCCGGCAACCCCACTCCTTGGTACCTACCCAGAGGACAGAATACTTAATCAGGTAAGTGCATGCACACTGATGTTTATTGTGGCACTATTCACAATTGCTAACTCATGAAACCAACCCAAATGCCCATGAACAGATGAATGGGTAGAAAAACTGTGGCACATATACTCTGTGGAATACTATTCAGCCATAAAAAAATAAAAATTAAAAAAAATAATAATAATAAAACCTGGCTTTTGACAGGAAGTGGATGAATATAGAAGATTTACTGCTGAGCGAAGCAAGCCAGGCTATGAAGGAGAGGCATTGTATGTCCCCACTTAATATATACCGAGTGTCCGCACTCTATGACTAAAGGATATACAAACACAGTATATAGATGTAAATACCAGATATAGTGTGGGTGAAAGAGGAGGGTCTGAAGAAGGACATTTGGAAGAAAAAGAGGGAGGGAAAGCATTAATGGAACAAAGAAATGTTGTATTATTTGTTGAAGATATTTTTTAGTTTTATCAACTGGACTAGGGAGAAATATTCATTTTGTAAGCTAAATAATGTGATTGAATGTATAAAAGAAAATGAAATAAAAAATGCTAAAAAATAGAATCCAATGGGGGAAAAAATCAATGTAATCTATCATATCAACAGGTTAAAGGAGTAAAATCACATGATCATGTCAACTGATACAGACAGAAAGTTTGGTAAAGTTCAAAACCCACTCATAACAAAACTTCAAGTTTTGCTTTAGCGGGTGGTCCCTGAACAAGTAGCATTGACACTGTTGGAATTTGTGAGAAATACAAAATTTTGTATCTCATCCCTGTATCTAAATCATAATTTGAATTCATATGTAAGTGAAGTAAATGTGAGAAGCACTGCTCTGTAAGACAGCAGAATGCCTATTTGTGCATTCTGAACAGAATCTCTGTTGAAGATATGTTTCTGTCACCATCCATCTAAAGATTTATCAGAAAATTTCTCAGTCATCAGAACCAACCAGATATTGGTGCTATGATGACACATGACAATCTGTGAGGTAATCCCATAGGGAAAAATTCCTAGTTCAAGACCAGTGTCCTCTGAGTCTCCCAGGCACATTATTGCCTAAATTTGGGGCTGGCTGATGACTAGGGGTGGAATGCAGTGTCAATACCATGTTCGGCTTGCTTTCCCTCTCCCTCTTTGATCTTCTCTGTCTCTCTTACTCCTGGAAAAAATAAATAAATAACCTTAAGGAAAAAATTGTTTTTCTCAGATATCAAGAACCAGGAAATCTTTACCAAAAGAAAAATAAATTACTTATTAATAATATAATCCATATATCTATTACTATTATATCTGTCGGGAAAATCAGAGACAGTTCAAAATTTATGTTCTGTCTTTCTCTGATGAGCTCACATGCTCTACAGCAAAATTAAAAACTAATAATGATAGTTATTTTTTAAAAAAGCAAAGTCGCATGACTCACATATATCTAGATTCCAAACTTGACTTGAAATTGATGGTCTCATCCTTATTTCCCTGATCTTGGTTTTTATTTATTTATATTTATCCATATTACTATTACTATAAGCCTCCTAAAGTCCACTAGAAAATAAAAATAAGCAAGAAATTAAATCAGTGAACAAGTAAGAACTCACCAGGGACTGGGCCATTTTGGGTTCTTCTGAGAAAGGGGTGGAGATCTGAGAAAACAGACAGAAAAAGTACAGATGAGAGAAGACAATGTACCAGTGTTACACATGGACATATATATCATTTAATTCCCAGGTACCTCTGCTCCAAAAATTTATTTCTTGAACTGTATTATTAGTGCATGTGTGCCCAAAATCCCAAAAGGAGAATGATGATCCTGAAAGAAACATTGAGGAGAAGGGATTGTGGTGTAGCCATTCCCCTGGAGGATGATTTCCCTCTGTCCCTCTCTTCCTCCAGCAAGTGAGTGTGTCCTATAGCAAAGTAATAATCAATAAATAAACAGATAAAAATAAAAAGATGTACCAAAGAATGGTATTCCATTTTCAATATGCTTATATTGCATGTTTCTATGTGTGCATATACATGTATATAAATGCATCCATAGAGAATCAAATTTAGAAAGAAAACTAATGTGAACATATAATATTTGGGTGATGGTTAAATTATAGGTAATTTTAATGTTTATATTCTTTTTATTTACATTTGATCACTGTACATCCTTACAGTGAACGTTTTTTCTTAGCATGAACACAGTGCATATTAGTCAAGTCAGACATTACCATATACATTATCAGCAGATAAATTTTCATTTTTGTGTTTATTAAATATGTTGTTTTTTCTCTGATGCACTTGGCATGTTTTTCAAGCCATCAGGGCTGGGATTCAAATTGCAGTTGGCCATGTGGGACCCAGCTTCCCATAAACACCAGGCTACAGGGCAGCTCCTATTTATATTTGCTAGTAAACAAAAAAATAACTGTTGTTAAGGAATATCTGTCTCCCCAGTGACTTTATTCCATACTTCTATACTTCATCCCATGGAGTCAAAAACAAAAAAGAAATTCCCGAAAAAGGGAGGTTCCTAACTTTTTTTTTTTTTTTTACTATTTTCCCTTACATAGAGATTTTAGTATTAGGTTCTAATAATCAACATTAATACTCGTCAAGTTATTTAGATACCAAGATCACATTTCCACAATGTTTATGACCATTTTCTAACATAAAGAAATGTTGAATGATTAATACATAAAACATACATACCCCCTCCAGCTAGTTTCAAAAATTAGCATTTTGGGGACCAGCAGTTAGCGTAATGGCTAGGTGGCTGGACTCCCATGTAGTTGACTGCAGCTTGCGTCCTGGATCCGGTGGCTTAAACTCACGCCGGGCACATGTTTGTGCATGCCCAAGATCCAAAGAAGAGAATGGAGAAGGGATTACGAAATGGTCATCCCCCTGGGGGTGATTTCTTGCTTTCTGTCTCTCTGTCTCTGTCTGTCTGGTGAGCACACATGCCCTATAGCAAAAACCACTCCAAAAAAAAAAATTTAACATTTTGCATCTTTCCATATCTGCTTAATCTTTGACATACAATCACAAGTAAATTCATATATATGTGTGTGCACGTGTATAATGTATGTGTATAGTATATGCATATAAGTGTTTATGAAAAGCAGAATATGTACAGCAAAATATGGTACTTTGGAGTAAGGGTTGTTTTGAGCTAAAGACACTTGAAAAACAGTAGGTGCAATGGGAACCAGCAGTTAGCGTAATGGCTATGTCGCTGGACTCCCACGTATTCGGCTGCGGTTCACTTCCTGGACCCGGTGGCTTAAAACTCACACCGGGTGTGTGTGCGTGCGTGCCCAAGATCCCGAGAGGAGAATGGACAAGGGATTGCGGCGTGACCATCCCCCTTGGGGGGTGATTTCTCGCTTTCTGTCTCTATGTCTCTCTCTGTCTGTCTGGCAAGCGCACGTGCCCTATAGCAAAAATCTCTCTCAAAAAAAAAAAAGTAGGTGCAAGAAGGGCACTCCAATCTTTTTTTTCCTGAAATGGGAGATACAAACATGTGAAAGATGCCCTCACTATACAAGGAGAAAAGAAACATATTTTGATGGGAGGCATAGGTGACAAACTCTTGTATAAGCAGATCTTGGGGCACCAGCAGATGGCATAATGGTTACATTGCTGGACTCCCATGTAATTGACTGTGGTTCAAATCCCAGACTTGGCTACTTAAAATTTACACCAGGTGCTTGTATGGTGTGCCCCAGATCCTGAGAGGAGGATGGAGAATGGATTGCACAGTCGCCTTCTCCCCAGGAGGTGACATCTCACTTTCTGTCTCTGTGGCGAGCTCACACGCCCTATAGCAAAAACTCTCAAAAAAAAAAAAATCTTGTTAAGGTGACTGGATCCCACACGGCCAACTCTGTGGTTTGAGTCCTGGACTCTGTGGCTCAAGGAAACATGCCAGGCATGTGTTCATACATGCCCAAAATCCTGAGAGAAGAATTGTGGCAATGATCATGACCCCTAGGGGATGCTTTCTCACTTTTCCTTTCTCTATATCTCTTTCTCTCTCCAGTGAGAACACGCACCCCATAGCAAACTAAAAATAAATAAGGTGAGTCTTGGCAGCTTGGAGTCACAGTAATGCATTTAATATGTCTTGAATATTTTAAATTACTTCTATTATGTTTTTCAGTAGTATTGTTTCCTAAAGAAAACCACTCCTTGATTCTCTCTCCCTGTCAGAATTGTGTGCACTCTGTAACATCTTTGGTCATGGTAGTCCAGTTTTCCTAATAATTTTGTTAATGTGCTGTAAAAGACTGGAGATTTGAGTATGTAGCGTGTATGACACTAAATTGTGATTTGGTGGGACTTACCTAACAGCTTTCAACCTTTGAAGACAGTGGTACTTTATATCCTCTTAAGGAAAATTTGCCTACAAATTTGAAGCTGGAATATTTTATATATATATATA